CAATTTGAACTGTGAATAATGTCAGTTGGGATATATTAGAAGAGCCATTACACATTCAGCCCCCTTTCTTTTCTGTTGGATTCACAGAGAGGCAAACTGAACAAGGGTGAACAGCTAACACAGTGCTGGCTGTTTCCCTGTCCAATGTATTGGATTAAAACACTGTCTTTTCAATATTGGTTCCATATCAAAACACAAAATACTTCCCAACAGCTTCAATATTAGGATATCTTTCTTCCACTCAGATCCACTTACCCTCTTGGTATTTCATGCTGATCGTGCTCCTGAAATTGGAAGGTGGGTGGGAGACTTCACAAATGTACTTATCGCCTTTCTTCCAATGTACCGTGGGTATAATCAGGTATGAGATTGTTTCAAAGGTATTGTCAGTTCTCCGTTTGGAAGAGAGAACAACACCCGTTTGGTCCACTTGGTCTTTCTTCCAGGAAACCTGGATGTTGTCAGGAGCAAATCCGGATATAACACAGCCCAGGACAGCATTCTGACTGGAGATAAAATCCACAGATGGGACAAGGGCGGTGATGTTCGGCTCTTGAGCTGTAACACATTGCAATGTTGAAGATCATACAACTGTTTTGCCACAGGAAAAATGTCCTTTATTACTTCTAAATTCAGAGAAAGGCCGACAATGTCAACCCCCTTCATTGTCAATTTGACTGGGTTTCCTCTTATCTTCTCCCTGAAATATTTAGTTACCTGACAGTGCTTGATACTGACCAATGGTCCAAAGCTTTTCATATTTTACTTTCTGAGCCAATTGCTGCAGAATTTCCTGTTCGTACTTGAAAATCCCACGGTGCAAATAACCGTTTGAGATTAGCACCTATATGGCAGCACTATATAAAATTGTTGCTGACCCTTTAGGGATCAGGTAGGATTTACAATTCTCCATAACAATTGAGAGAAAATCAGACATTACCCCCTCCATTTGCCCATTTCAATCGTGCAAAAATTTGTCTGGGAGGGGCAGGGTGTAGCTCTGCGCAGACATCACCAAAACAGCAGCCTCTGACTCACCATCCTTCCATTTTCAATTTCCATTGACTTTCGTCATGGAATGAAAGGGTTGTTGGAAACTAAATTCTCCAATTTTCTAAGGGACGCAGGAACTGAGAAAACTGGAATTGCAAATGAAAAATGTTTGCAGGTTGCAGGGTAAGTTGCTAAGTCTGTTTCTAAAATACCATAATGGATGCTGAACTTTATAACAGAGGTGTAGGGCACAAAAGCAAGGAATTTATTCCTAAACCTTTGTAAATCACTAATAAGGCCTTAAATCGAGGTATTGTCTCCTATTCTGGCTACCTCACTTCAGAAGGAATGGAAATAAAGCAGTGGATATTTAGTGGAATGTTCCAGGGATGGAATACTCCAGTTATTTTGTACAGATTGGAGATAATAGGCTAGATCTCCTTGCATCGAGCAGAGAAGGTTCAGGGGAAATTAAATGGGTGTGCCCAAAATTTATGTGAGCTTTGATGGAGTAGATGGGCAATAGTTCTCAACCCCAGAAGTCTTGGCAGACAGATGATGTAGATTTAAAATGGAGGCAACAGTGTAGAAAATGAAGTTTTTTTTAAGTAGAAACACAGTAAATGTTTATGTTTGGAAATGCACAACTTGAAAGGGAATGATGGAAGCAGATTCAGTGGTACTTTTCAAGGCAGAATTGGATAACTGCTTAAATAGGAAAACCTATGAGGAAAGAACTGGAAGACTGGGACTAATTTGGTACCTCTTTCGAAAGACAGACAGGCATGATGGGCCAAATGGTCTGTTTCAACCCCATGTGAATCTATGAACCGATACCTGACTGGGAGGAGGCCTCTAAAATGAGGCACAAAATGGACAGTATGGCACGGTATACACTTCGCCTGATATTCAGTTGCCTTGACTTCTCTAGAACTGAATATTGAGTGAGTGATATCACAGGTAACAGCATTGCATCCTGTCATTGTCCTGTGTTGTAGGATTCCTCTTTGTATTTTTATCTTATTACTGCCAGCACTGCTGGGGTACAGGGATAAAATCCATAGGCACAACAATTTCTGGGAGTTCTGTTGTGCAACCACCTCCTCTATCGGTTAATGAAGTTTCCTTTTCCAAATTCATCTTGTGACACTAAATGTGAAATAATGGAATGTACTAACTTTTGGGTGTTTCAAACTGACGTTCCACCATGTCGTTTGAGTTGTAGCCCGCCTGGCAGTGGTAGAATCTATTGGTTTTCCAATCTGCTGCAGAGACTTTGAGCACACTGCTCATTGTGTACTTCTTATCATTCCCCTGGACTGCAGGATACTTGCTGATTTCAGTGGTAATGATTCCACTGTCACTGGACCATGTCTGACGAATGCTCCTGGGATGAAAGTCCTTGACCAGACAGACGAGGCTGATCTCATCTTGGTTTGAGTTTGAGGGATTTAAGATGTAGACCGATGGTGCAGACTGGGCAACTGAAACATAAATATTTGCAAACTGATTAGAGCAATAATAAATGCATTTCAGTCAGGCAGAGCTCAAGAGATTTTCTGATGTATAAAACCAACCTGTTCTAAAAAGAATGACAAACAACAGGGAAGAAATGAAGGGTAAATTGAAGGACAGCATTGAGCAATTATAAGCTGCATGACAGGGAGACAAGTCCAATGGAGTGGGTGGAATATAAGTTTTACACTCATCCCAAAGTTATTCTCAAAGTTATTCTGCATCAATCAACTCTGATGTCAAGTGGGGTGTGAAACCAGCTTTGCCCTGAACCCAGTCAGTGTCTTAACGGCAGGATAAACAAAAAACTTCAGTGGAAAGTCAAAAATGTGCAACAGTCCTATAGAGCAGGAAAGCTAGCCAGAGAAAAAACAGCAAATGTCAGGATAAAACTGGAGCAAGTGAAGAAACCAAAATGTGAAAGCAAGGCAATTAACCATAACACTCAGGCATCAAGAGAAAGGAGTTGGGTGCCAGAAGCTGTAAAGAAAAAGGAACCCAGAATTTGCCATCAAGTGATTAATGGAATAATCAAATATTTCCTTTACAATAAATAAATATGTTGTTGAAATCTTGTTTTCAAATAGAACATGTGATTAAACAAAGCAGTCAAAATTTACAGCTGAATTGTTGAACATTCTTTTCGCAGTTACCAATTCTGAAACTTTGCCAAGAAAGGTTACACTGGTCAGAAAGTGTATGTGATTTGCAAGGATAGAATTGAGGGCAGAAGAGTGAAACGGTGTCTTTTTGTTAATGCATCAAAGTTACTCAGGCTAAATCTGACCAAAGCTGTAAATTGTGAAGGTACTTCTGGCCACTGGTGAAATAGATTCTATAAAACAGCCACAAACTAGTCCGTGCCGAGGGTAAAGTTTCACAGGACAGAACCGTTAGGTATGGTCCTGGATCGACAGCTGAAAACATATGGTATCCATTGATGTGTTCACAGGTTTAACGTGGTTGATGAAGTGGTACTCAGTTACTGGTCTTTCAAAATCTTGATATTTATCATTGACATGAAAAGCTTTGGAACATCGGACATCCTGGACCATAATGAAAGACCAAGAACAATCAAGATGACCAGTTCCCATCCTGAAAGAGATCATCAAGGTTCAAAGAAACCTGGTCCTCTCAAGCACACTACAATGCATCTCAAATTACTCATAGATTCTCTCCCATGCTATTTTCCAAAAGAAACACCTGAAAGCTGCTAATTACAGAAGGAATTAATCAGTGTGAATGAGCAAGAACAGCTACATTCAGGAGAGTTCCAGCCAGGAAAGTATTAATCAGTGCCCACAGCTAACTGACCACTGCAGTGCAGCTGTGGGACAATGACGCATTGTGTGAAGTGTTGGACGGTCGCCCCACTGTCTTTTCCAATGAGTCATAAATGATTCCACAACACTAACTTGAATGAGGTGAAGGGAGTTCTTTCCAGTGTCCTGATCAATTTTCGTTAAATATTGCAAACAGACTATCTGGTCATTATCCAATTGCTGCTTGTGGGATCTTGCTTGGCACCATTTGGCTGCAGTATTTCTCTACATTGCACAAATGACTGCACTTGCAATGCATTTCATTGGCTTTGAAGCCCTTTGGTATCTTCTGCAGTTATGAAAAATAATTTTATTGTTCATTTATGAGACAAGGACATCAATCGTATCAGTTCGAGTCTTTGAGAAAATAGTTAAATGAAACCAATCAGCTGCAGGTATTCAAAATCAGAGTGAAAGCACTTTACAAAGTACTAATTCTATTTCTCTCCCCACAGACGCTGATGGAGCTGCTGAACTTTTCCAATGTAGGTGACAGGATCATATCAGTCAACATCATTTAAAGGTGACGGTCTTTCACATCCTGAAAATAGTGGGCAGTAAGTGTAGTTCATGATACATCAGTGGATCAAACACTGTTGGGAAGTGGTGATCAGGACCTGGATCTGGGGATAACTTTGATAAATTCCTGAGGCTGTCAGCATTGTGATGAAGTACAGCAGTAATGAGGAGAATGATGACAGTAACTGTATCAGCAGAGAGCTGGAATTTACAAAATGGTATTCAGGGTGAACGTGGCCTTGAGTGATTCTGGTGAGTGTGAATCTCAGCCCAGGTTACAATCTGCCCTGGTCTCTTTCCTACTGTACTCAATAAGATTGAAAATCTGGGTAGCTGTAAAACACACGGGTGATTCACTGTAATCTGATGTGTTCTGCAGCCAAGACCACATTCACCCTCAGTGTATTATTGGTGAAACATCATGTCATGTCTGTGTGTAATTCTGAATCATCCAACAGAGGCAAAGGAGACTCTGGCCCATGAGAAATCTGCAACAGATCCAGAATGGCTCAGAGTTTTAGGAAGTGAAGTGGAGGGGAAGATTATACAGCTTGGTGTTATTTTCTTTGAAAGAGTTGAGCAAGATAATGTTCACTTTTAGCACTAGTGCAAAACAGCCAATGACTGTTTCACTCAGCAGTGACTCAGTGGTCGCAGTTTTACTTTAAGCCAGAAGGGTGGGGGTTTAAGTGGATTCTTGAGCACAATATCTTGGTTGATATTACTGAGGGAGAGCTACACAGTTGTGGCGGGGGGGCCTTGTCTTTGAGATCAGACATTAAATTGACTTCTCAATATGCTGCACAGTATTATCCTCAGCCAACATCAGTAAAAACCATGTAAACCAAAAGAACTGCGGTGCTGTAAATCAGGAACAAAAACAAAGTTGCTGGAAAAGCTCAGCAGGTCTGGCAGCATCTGTGAAGGAGAAAACAGAGTTAATGTTTCGGGTCCGGTGACCCTTCCTCAGAACTGATGGTGGCTGGGAAAACGTCAGTTTATATGCAGTTTATATCCCTACCCCACCCACCTCCCTATTTTCTGCATATAAACTGACGTTTTCCCAGCCACCATCAGTTCTGAGGAAATGTCACCGGACTGGAAACGTTAACTCTGTTTTTTCCTTCATCGATGCTGCCAGACCTGCTGAGCTTTTCCAGCATCTTTGTTTTTGTTCATTAAAAACCATTATCTGGTCAGGATCTTATTGTTCATGGGGTCCCGGTTTGCACAAAATGCCTTCACAAAACTGACAGCACTTCAAATGTACTCAAAAGCTGTGAACTACTCAGATACGTCCTGAACTCAGGAAGGTGCTGTATCAATACAACTTATTTCCTTCGCAATGACTTCGATCCCATCACAAAGAGTTTTGGCTCATACAATAAAGGAGTTTTGATATCCAGAATATGCAGCACAGTAGGTCTCTATTTGACCAAATCAGTCCATGCTGGTGTTTATACTCCACTCGAGTCTCCTTTTATTCCATTCATTCCTGGGTTGAGAACTCGCTATCTGATGCAGCATTTTTTACTTATCCATAATTGCACCAGAGAAGGCGATGATGGTGGTGAGGTCATGGTGAGATGTTTTCTCAAACCCCTGCTGACCATTTGGTGTACGGACTCCCACGCATGTTAGGATGGGAGTTCCTCGCATGTTCGGATAGGAGTTCCAGGATTTGAGGCTAGTGGCAATAAAGGTCCAAAACTATAGTTCCTGGTCAAGATGGTGTGCAAGCTGGAAGGGAACATGTAGGTGGAAATGTTCCAAAGCACATGCTGCCCTTGTCCTTCTAGATGTTGGTGGTTGTGGGTTTGGAAGATGGTGCTGAAGGTGCCTTTTTGCAGTGTTTCGTGTAGATAGTACACACTGCTGTCACTAAGGGTCACTGGTGGAGGGAGCAGGTGTTGAAGGGGTTAGACAGTCCTCATCCACACCATCTTAACTATCCATTTCCATCCCCCTCATGGACTTGTCTAGCTTCCCTTTAAAATCCATCTCTACTCTTCACTTCAACCACTCCGTACTTTAAAAATTTCACATTCACACCACTCTTTGGCTAAAGAAGTTCCAAAGAGATTCTTTGGGCACTGTCTTATATTGATGGCCTCCAGTTATGCAACTTAAGACACAGATGAGGAAGCAATTCTTCTCATAGAAGGGAGTGAATCTGTGAAATGTTTTGCTGCAAAGGGCTGTCGAGGCTGGGTCATTAAGTATATTCAAGACTGAGACAGACAGAATTTTTATCCAGGAACAGAATCAAAGATTATGGGGACAAGGCAGGAAAGTAGAGTTGACGATGATCAGATCAGTTATGATCACATTGAATGGTGGCGCAGACTCAACGGGCTGAATGGCCTACTTTGTCTGAGGTCTTCCCCACAAGATGAACCATTCTCTTTCTACTTCATTTAATCAAAACCTTTCAGAACTTTAACAATCTTAATTCGGTCACCCCTCAGCCATCTTTATCCAAGTGAGAAGAGACCCAGTGGCCTGTCAATCCTGTCATTGTGTGTGAATCCAGACATTGGAATATCGGAACAGGAGTGGGCCACTGAGCCTCTCAAGCCTGCCCCACCATCCTAAATAATTCCTCAATTCCATTCTTCTACTTTATCTCCATGTCCCTTAATGTCATCAGTCTCCAGAACTGCACTGATTTGTCTTGAACCTGATCAATGATTGTACTTCCACAGCCCTATGGGTAGAGAATTCCAAAAGATTCACTACCTTCCAAAAGAAGAAGTTCCTCCTCATCTCAATTGTAAATGACCTGTCTCTGATCCTAAGATTATTCGTCCCCTGGTTCTAGAAACATCCTATTTATATCCACCCTGCCAGCCCAAATTAGAATTTTGTAAGTTCAGCAAGATCACCTCACATTCTTAAAAACTCCAGGGAAAACAGACCCAGTTCCCTCAAACCCTCTTCTTTGGACAACTATGCCATCCCAAGGATTAGTCTGGTAAACAACCATTGCACTGTCTCCATGGCAACTGTATCCTTTCTTGGACCAAAACTATGTAAAAGGCTTCGGGTGTGGTCTCACGAAGGCCCTGTACAACTGTAGCAAGGCATTTTTACTTGTACACTCAAATCCCCTTGAAATTAATGCCAACATCCCATTTCCTTACTTAGCTCATTGCGACACCCACCCACTAAGTTTGATGACTCATGGACAAGGACACTTCCAAGGTGGACTTTCTGTTTTTTTCTGTCAAAATGAATAACTTCGTACTCCTTTATACTATGTTCTTTCAGCCCAGTTCTAGCCCTTTCACAAAGCATCTTCCTCACAAATCATGCTCCTCGCCAGTTTGATGTCATCAGAAAATGTGCAAATATTCCCATTGGTCCACATATCTACATCATTTATATGGATTGCGAGCAGTTGTGGAACTAGCATTGACCCTCGTATTACTCCTGAGAATGATCCATTTATTCCAACTCTCTGCTTCTGCCGAGTGACTGATTCTCCATCCACATTTGTATATTTCCCCCAGGTCTAATTTATTATCCCCAGTGTGGGAACTTCTCAAAAGTCTTCTGAAAATCAAGAGGCTACATACACTGGTTCCCCTCTGTCTATGCTACAAGTATCAGTGTATGGTGACTCTTTGGTGGGACTAACCACACAATCCCACTCCCCTGTTACTGTCCCAAAGGGCTGTCAAGTATTTTCCTTTCGATATTAATTCAGTTCCATTTTGATCTTTACAGCTGAACCTGATTCTTCTGTCCTTTCAGGCAGAAAATAACAGATCACAGGAACACCCTGAAGAAATGCTGTTGCCTTAAATTTTATCCTGAATTACTGTCTGTAAAAGTTTTTTTCCTCAGCTGTGCCATCAGGCTGACTGGACTGTAATGTGTCAGTGGCAGTCTGGCTTTTAATTTGCTCCCTTGTAACCTCCATCCGCTTTGTCACCGTCAGAATTTTAAATACCTTTTTTTCTACCATTGAGGTAATCAAATTAAAAGCTCCGAGATCCTCAATAATTAACGCTGAGACATTTGAAATGTCTTTCCCTGCTGACGGGAGCTCACACTGTACACTGTAAAGGGCCTCATCCAGTACACTACAGTCCAGCATCAACATCCTACTGCAGACCTCACCCCCTCACACTGAACTGATCCTTTCAACACCTTTCCAGAATATTCCAGCTTTAACCCCATTGATGGGTGGTGGGACTGTTCTACTGGAATTGTAGGACACAGAGGGTGAGAAAGGAGAAAGATAAAGTTCGAGGACTAAAAACCGGGGAAGAGAAGGAGATACCAAGAAAAGAGAAAGAACTGAAAAAAAGGAAAAGATGGTGAAAGACAAAAAGATGTGAAAGGAAGTAGAGCACACCCAGTGAGTAAATTCAGACAAGAGGCTGAACAAGAACAACTGCAGAAACACATTTAAAATCACCCAAGTATGAGAAATATTTGTCCAGTGTTTTATATCTTCCTGGTGAGGAAGAATGGGAATTGGAATCACACAGACAGAGGTGTTTCACTCCAGTAAAATTGACTCCTAACTCACTCAGTGTTTGTGATCAGGGATGTTCCCACCATACAGTCCGTGTTACAGTCAAACACAGCAGCCAAGAAATTGTTCACAGGGGGTGAAGGAAAACTGGGGTAATCGCCTGCCTGTTCCACACTGTGCCTGGCATTTAATTCCAGGTCAGTCCCTGGAATTCAGGCTCAGGCACTGGGCAGGAGGAGTGGCAGGTCGGAGAACTGCCTGTTTTGTCTCACTTCCTGGGAGGAATTTCGAAACCAGTGAATCCAGGGAGATAGAGGAGGTGCAATGAAAGTTTACTGTGTGCTTTTTGTAAAATTAATCTTTTTAGGTAAATGTCCTCAGGAGGACATGTTGAAATCGTCATTGTCCTTCCTGTTAATTTAGTTAATGATGTTATTAAAACAAATCTATTTCAAACAAATGTGGAAAACTCATCTTAAAAAGCACACAGGAGAATATCATCGTTCTCAGGAATAATGAGAGAATCTGTTTCCTTCACAAAACTCCCTCTATCCCATCCAGGAAGCTTGTGAAATGTCAATTCAAGCTCCTTGATATCAAATGGATCATAACTCTGCCGCTGAGAAAGGATCGTGCCCTTCCTTTCCCATATGTCTAACTTATATTTGAGGGATCGTCCCCACTAAAAGAACACAGTGGTCAGAGCTGGCTGAATATTAAACCTTGTTCCACTAACCTTGCAATAAGAAATCATATTCCTGCCCTTTGGACTTCCACTCATGGTGAGATTTAATCATTGACCAGTTCATTTATTAGTCTGAAGTACCCTTGTTGAATGTTTTAATCCAATAATTGTAAATATTGAAACAGTGAACCGAAACATCTAATATCAACAAATGAAAAAAGATTGATCCCATGCTGTTATTGCACAAGAATGATTTCAACCAAACAGAAACTCTTGCAGTTCTCAACCCTTCAATGTGGGTCCAGTTAGAGATGAGATTTCAGAGTGAGAGATGACTTGAAATCTCACAGATAATTGAACAATTATTGTCAAAACACACATGTCAATGAGACACAACTTCATTCCACACGCAGCCTGCTTGCTGTCTTCCAGTGAATTCTCTGGACATATGCTGTAAGCGTGTTGGGCTGAGTTATTTTAAATATAAATTAATCCCTGTGTCTCACTCTGTCCAAATCATTTCTGTCTGTTCGCAAAATTATCAAGTAGAATCTGGAACGTATTATTCTTAAAACTGTTCAACAAGGTATGAACTACATAAGCAAAAATGTAAACAACTATGACACCAACGACTGAATCACAAAACAATTGGATCATGTCTTTTAACTCCGATTATAACAAAATCCTAACCCACCTCCAAGTATCCTAAAGTCCAAAATCATCAAACCTGCCCAACACAACAAGTATCCTGAATAATGTAAACTGGACCAAGCTGAACATGTTAAACAGATCCTGGAATCCTGGATTTTCTGGGATTTAATATTAACAATTGAGAAGAAATCTCATCTCAGATTTCACTTCCAGTTACTGGGTATATTCTTGACGCAACAGAAATTCACCACTCTGGGATGGAATCATGTAATTGTCTGAAATATCTCACTGATTTTACTGAATTATCAAATTTACTAATCACACAAATTCGATACAATGTATAGTAGAAAATAGTAGAATTAAGAAGGTTGTCTTACCTGAAGTCACTTCCAGAAAGGTTCCGCTCCCCCAGTATTTACACTGTGCTCTGTCTCTTCATTCACCCAATACAACAACTGACCCTGAGCACCGTGTATAATAATCCCCAGGGAATGTAAATATAAATTGTGTTGTAACCTGGAGCAGCAACTTCCTGTATTTTCATTTGAAATTCCATCTTAATCCTGTCCCAAATGTATCCAATAATGTTTTCACATTTTTCCTGTTTGTTGACACCAGATCCTGCAAGTTACCCAGAAATAGAATTGCCTCCTTTTTGTCTTGTATTCTCCCAGGAATCAACATTTTCCCTGACAATCTGAGCCAGTGTCTAGATATTTCACTCTGGGAAACAAGAATGTGAAGTCCATGGATATACATGGTTATTAGGAACGGGGCTGTTTGTGTCAAGCTTTTTGCTGCTGTGGTACCATATCCATCACAATGCTTCATCCGAGCTCAGAAACCACAGCTATAGGATCCAGCCTGAAATCAAACGTCCCAGACAAGCAGCCGGCAGCTTCATGAACTCCCCAGTCTGTATCTGCATGTCTCCCACACTCCAAGAGTCAATGCCGGAGTTTTCAGCACTGTATGGGAAGATGGGGCAAGTCCACAAAAAGTTTTCATTTTTCATCATTCTTTTTCTGTTCCTCACTGCTTTTTCCATCTTTCAAATAATAGCTTCACGGCAAGTTGTTCCTACACCCAGATTATTGAATCGGAATCTGATTTATATTCACAGCTCTGGAGCTGAAGGCCAGTGATAGCACCTGGCGAGTGCAGTTTAAATTGTTTTCCTGTGCTAGGTTTTTGAATGGAGAGGGTTCCCATTTCTCTCACTGTGCCACCCAGTATATACACACCGTGATAGAGAGCTCTACATGAATCTTCTCCATTTTACCTGTCACTAAATACAGTCACTTCACATTTAAACTGATCGCACTGACACTGCTCCAAGTGAGCCATGCTGCTCTGAATCTCCCTGCCCAGGGACTGCCGTCTCCTGTTTCAGTCCAGAGAGATCTTTGTTCACGTCCCGA